GACGTAACTATACAAATGGTCATCTTTCTGCCCAACATTTGAAGCATTCTTTTTTTTTCGTACCTCTGCTTTACTTCTTTCAAAGCAAATAGTGGTACAGACTCAAATACTGTGCTATGTTTTATATAATCTGTAGGATCCAATTAGCGAACACTTGAAACGCATGAAAGTATAGCATAACCTGCGAGAATCATAAAGCAACTACTGCTTTCGTTTAATTAAGCTTTTTTTTTTATTCGACTCTGTATAGACACCAATATCACCGGGCACCGAAACAGTAAGTGTTTCAATCAGCTGTTGATATATTATTGACGTAGCGTGGCTTGCCGTACAGCGATGATAGTATGTCAAACCTTATGGGACACTCACAAAGTGGACAAATTCCAGCGTGTTTGACAGAAGGTTACGTGGGCAGATGAGATTAAGAAGTTTGCGTGTATAATTCGGCATCAGCAAGCACAGGACCAGGCTAACTGGCGGAATATGGGAGAGGCCTTTGTCCTGCAGTGGACGTAGTCAGGCTGATGACGATGATGACGATGATGACGATGATGATGATGATGATGATGATGATGATGATGATGATGATGATGATGATGATGATGATGATGTCTAACTACATATAAGCTCATAGTGCCGACAGAAACATCAACGAAAAAATCAAAACTAGTAGTTTCATTTCTAAATAACGCTGGAATTAGTTCAGAGAATGAAATACCGATGTTTATTTATTGCAAATCGACCATAAATTCTCTGTAGTTGGGATATTTTCTCGAAAAGGAGAATGCTGCTTTTTATTTGTGCTAGTATGCAACATTGTCTGTATATTATAGATTATGCTCACCATGAATGCTCTTGTCTGATCCCTCTTTTTCGTTGTAGGCACTGATAATTTGATTCTACACCGTTCAAACGATCATGTTCAATTGGCAGACAGCTCTTCAAGAACACATCCCAAAGCTCTGTCGATGCGCACCTCATAGTTTTCACACATTAGCTGCCTCCATTACACGACAATCGCTTCTCCATCATATTGTTCCTCTTTTATGCAGCCTTGTCACTGGCAGTTCTAATGTGAGCGTTTCTGCAAGACCATATTTATAACTTAGAACTGGGGTGACTTTGGGGATTTCATTTTTAGACACCCTCAACGAAGCCATCAGGCCAGGTGAAATTGTGCAATTGAAGAAGAATGGCTATTTGGGCTAGTTGGTTTGAATTGAAGTGCAACATACACTGAACATTTCTAATGACTTGATGAGATCCTTGCTCAGATTCCACATTTTAGCTTTCCGCATCACCTGCAAACATTCGTCAGTGGTCCCATCAAAGTTTTACAACTCAGTCTTATGGTTGAGTACAACCAAAAGCCTGTAAGACCAACTTCTTCAGCCAACTGTTTCACGAACAAGAAAACTTCCAGGGATAAACGGGGTAAAGCGGTTAGTTTGGTAACTAGTGCCATCTTCCCTTCTATCACTATGGTTGCCTTCATCTTTATTCGATATATCTTGTCTAGTTAACATGCAATATAACGATGGCGTATGCATCAATGAAAGCTTCTTGTACTGTTCTATGCCACAAAAACACAAATAATGCTGCCTAATACGAGTGAAATACTTAGTTAAGCATAGAATATTGTTATTGAATAATACAACATCCAAGTTCCCTCAGTGTTTGTAGGAGCGACAAAGCATAAGTTTTAAGGCGTAGTTATCCAGGTAAGTTTAGTACTTAATTGACTTCAAATAATTTGTATCTGGACCCTACATACGAAACCTTCAGACCGGTAAGTCTAGATAAATTATTTCAACACGGTGACGTACAAGTCGTAAGCTCGTGTACGACTTGTCCTTCGCGTCTTCACATCACATTCCCGTATGCTCTTCGCTGATGCCGTCAGAATATTGTTGTTTGCCATGAAAGTCCAATCTTCTTGAAGAAAGCTTCGATTTTTACGTGGTATGATTTCTAATCAATGACAAGGAGGAGGAGCTAAGCTGGAACACGCGGAGCTATTTTTGCTCAAGTCAACCATAGTGTTCTTATTTTGCGATTACATATATTTCGACACGCGAAGCCTACAAATGACGATGAATGCGCAACAAAGGCTTAGCGAATCGTTGTTTGATTTATAAACGAAAAACAATTTTGCATTCAATACTATTGTGCGTCGAGTTCATCTATTAAGCAAAACTCGGGTGTCTGTTTAGCTTCCGCGGGAGACCAAGAAATAAATCAGCTGTTCAGTAATCGCATCAAGGCTTTCCACTTATTCACTTCTCGTTTCAACAAAAACAAAACCGTCATTATTGGCGAATTCTTCAAGTTCAAGTTCTTGCTGTCTGCGCTTGATGACTTAAGTAACGGCAAACTAGCCACCTCGTTTCTCCCTACAATGTTACTGCATGCAAAAACAGCAGTTGTGTTAAAAAAAAACTGTGGTAATTAAGGGACAGATAATGCTCTCACTTTAGTACATTGTAAGACATCTAGTTAGGGCATACAAGGTGTAGCAAAGTTGTGCTTGATTCGCTAGCATCAACTACCAACTAATACTTTCATGCAATTCAATTTTTTCACTCGCTTCCACATAGACACCAGAGTCGCCAGGCACCGAAACAGTAAGTGTTTGAAACAGTTGTTACTTCTCAACGTTATTATCAACGTTATCATCAAGACTCGACTCACACGTAGTCTCGTGCTCTATGTATCGCCTGATCGACTGTTTTATATCTCCTCGAATCCATGCACTCAGTAACAATGTACCGTCATAGGCATAAATAAAAATACTACAATGTTAACCTTGAAAGAGCACCGGCACACAAAGTGGGCATTTTGTACCCACAATCCCAAGTTGTAACCGAAGGTCACCAAGCATAATTTAGGCTGACCAGACCACACGCCTTCTCTGTTTCTTTTCGCGTGAAAGGATAGACTGCAATTATCGGCCCAACTGCTCAAAACATCGATGATACGAAAGCTCCAATGTCCGTCATATGACTCTTTCATCATCATTTATTTAGCCTTAGAAGCCCGTCACTGACCGTAACAAATTGTAAGATCGTGTCACAATACAACACATAAGTAGGGATTGCAAAAACAGGTAAACGCAGTAAATATACAAAATGAAAAGGGCTGGTAAATGCGAAAAGAAAAGTGCGGCTGCTTGTTCTGCAGACAGCGCTGTAACCCCGACTGCTTGGCTTTTTCGCAATCTCTCTGAGCCGTTTTTTCGGATCCAACATTCGCTACCATTTGCGACCATACGCGCGCACAGTATGTATGACAATGTGGTATGTAGTTTGACTTCACTTTAGCGCCTCAAAACACCACATGGTTACAGCCCGTGGAGTTTTTAAACTTTTTGACAAATTGGGGCCTAGGAGCACTTTGTAAAACATGACTTGTGGAAAGAGATCTTTGGGCGAAGAAGTTCCTGGTCAGGTCTGACCAGGACCACCTCCAGTATCTGCACCAACACCACCACCACCACCACCAGTAACGAAAGTAACTACAATATGGTGATATTTATATTGCATACCCAGCTTAGTTGAATGTCTGTGACTCGCGACGTACAAGACTTGGTACAATATACGTTTTACCTCATGTTGATCGATTCACGCTGCAAGGATGTGTGCAGTGCAGTGCTTGTTCTAATTATTACACCAATATTGGTATTTTGAAAACCAAACATTACACAACCATGTTACGCATTCTATATAGGGGAGGGCATCTGACATGACGTAAAGGTTGGCATTTTATACGTTTCCCTAGAGAACAGAGACTGAACGACATTGACTCGAGTCTCACTGTACCATTGTGGGCAGTGCAGTGTTAGTTCTGATGAATACACTGATATTTGTATTTCCAAAACCAAAAATTCATGGACTTGTCTTGCATTCTACACTGGGAAGGGCACCTTATACGACGCAAAGGCTGACATTTGATATCTTTCTACAGGGAACAGAGACCAAACGACATTGACTACATAAATCCCAACAAAGACAATAGCAGTGAGGACAATAGAAGACGACAACCACGACAGCGACAAGGAAGACAAACAACGGCCACAACAATGACGACACACTCCAAACACCATGGACCAACGATGGCATCTTTTAGCTTCAGAACACTAGTTTCATGCATTTACTTCCTCTAGAACATGCATCTACTGAAATATTTACGTACACATACTTCGGACGTTGTGGGAAACACCACGTTTTAAATTTTCGTACAGATCTTCAAGTCGTGTGTGGTTGTATGGTTGTTGACACTTCTCCGTAACCTGCCACTGTTTATATGTGAGATTTCTGCTGTACATCTATCGTACAGCCCACTCAGCAACACATTGTACAAAAAGCATAGACTCGCCCAACGACGTGTACTACATTGTATACATTGCATATATCCAACCTCGTTCACATCATACATTCGTTTTTGCCAATTAAAACTCCCTTGCCGCAAAGAGTTTAGTCGGCCTGACATTAGAACCTAGCGTAAAGGAAAGCGTGGCTCTACGTCTGTACACTGATTTTTCTTTGGTAATGTTAACAATTGACTAAAGTCACCTGCGCAAATAAGCAAGCATGTTCGCACTCATGCTTCAGGTGTAATACTTAGTCATACAATCTACCTTGAGAGGCGCTAGACAGAGGCAAGGGCACTACACTATCTGCATTGCGCTCAACGATGGATCTCGCAAGCCGTGCGATGCCAGATTGAAAACCTCGGCAATGAGGCCTTGCCACTGCTTCGCAAGTTGGCAGTTTATAGTGCACCCACTGCATGTTCAGGGAACACGTTTAACATCAACTGCATACCGCACCGATAATGAACTGAGGAGGAGAAAATAAAATGTTACATTGAAAAGTTTATCAGTAATTATGATCAGACAATATTACTAATAAAAAACGCAGCCGATTTGGTGATTTCAAATTCGGGTTATCTTGGTGCCTAACTGAGTATGATTGTTTGGTCTTTTCTTTTGCAGACGCCCGAAAGCCCAGGTACACATACGGTGAGTGTTTTATGCTACCTTTCAATTCAACTTTATTGTAATAACAATTATATGAACACTTATAAAGGACATTTTTACCACTGTATTCATTTTTCGTATGAAGTCCAAATCAACTGTATTACCCCGCACACAGTGTAGTCAAATGCTACCGAGCCAATAAGCGAATACTCATCCCAAAACAAGCCCAAAAGAAGCGGGGACAATGAACTTTTCTCTTCTTGAAAACGTTTTTAATTATGTATAAGAAATGTCTATAGCTTTCAGTATTGACATTTTTAGTATTGTCTCTAAGGCAGCCTCCACTTTGTTTGAAGGCACGTTTGGCAGTGCATAATTATCATCACATGTTGATTCCTGCAACGTATATTTGACCTAAACACTCTCAATCATATATGTGCACACATGAGAAGCGGGTGTCAGGTTGGGGCACAAACTATGCCCCATAAGTATTTTAGTAAGACGTAGGAGGGGGGGGGGGGGGGGGGCGCTGCGATAAACCTTGGCTCCACTCTTGGTGAATAACCATACACAGACTACTAAACGCCATCGACAAACACGCCATTGCTGAATGACAAACTGTGCATTGGTGGGCGCGATGATTTCTAATGTAACTATACAGGGTGTCCCGCGTAACTTCAGTCAGAGTTTAAAATATGCCAGGAAAAGTAATTACGAGACCACCAAATGCCTGTTCCTCACCGTTGCCTGGAGTTAGACATATTTTTTTGTGTTCTCAAATACTTTTTAATCAGATCTGTTTTACCTACCTTTTGAAGGAACGAGGATGGATAAGGAATTTCAACCTGAAAAAGTTGTAAATCAGTTTGCAAAACGTCCAAATAGATAGTTTTTAGCTCATATCTGTTACATATTACTGTTTTTCTGCTAATTGAAAATGCCCGCTAAACACAACAAAATACCACGTGACGAACCCGCTCGCGCGTCAGTCCGCACGTCCGCGCGAGCGGGTTTGTCACGTGATATTTTTATGTATTTTGCGGGCATTTGTAATTGGCGAAAAAAACACTTATACTAAAGAGATATAAAGTTCAAAACTATCTATTTGAACGTTTTACAAATCGAACTGCTTCTTTCTCATTAAAATTCTTTATCCATCTTCGTTCCTTTTAAAGTTAGTTATTTAAACAAATATGATTAAACAGTATTTGAGAATACAAAAATAGTCCGACCAACTCCAGGCAACGGAAAGCAACATGCGTTTGGTCGCGTCGTAATTACTTGTTACGGCATATTTTAACTCTGGCTAATGTTGCATGGGGCACCTTCTATATGCTGGGAAAATACAAATAGGCCCTATGCCCCGCCACGGTGGTCTAGTGCCTAAGGTACACGTCTGCTGACCGGCACGGTCGCGGGATCACATCCCGGCTGCAGCAGCTGCATTTCCTGATGGAGGCGGAAATGTTGTAAGGCCCTTGTGCTCAGATTCGGGCGCACGTTAAAGAACCCCAGGTGGTCGAAATTTCCGGAGTCCTCCACTACGGTGTCTCTCATAATCATACGGTGGATTTGGGACGTTCAACACCACATATCAATCATCAAAATCAAATAGGTCGAATAAAACATGACAGGCAGCTGGGAAATCGTGCACCCTACTCAGCGAAAAAAGAAACCAAGTCCACTTACTGTAGGCGAAACTGGCAACTCTGCCCGAGAGTACGCGAGCTCCGCCGACAACCGCAGTAGTGACTCGCAGTTTCCGTCTTTCACTATAATCCTAGATAGATATGTGGGGTTTAACGTCCAGGTATCCGGGTGCACGACTTGAACAAGGCAGCATGATGGAGCCGAAAAGCAGATTACAGCGAAGATTGATTGGCAGTGATTATGAACGGAGAGACAGAAGAAATTGGACGTTCGAGAGGAAAATTTCGCCTGCGCCACCCTCCCTTCAGATTGTTCCCACGTTGACTCTTTTTTTCGGGGCAAAGAACGATACAAAGCCGGTGGAAAGTGTACGAATGTGGCGAAAGGTGAAGTGTCCTGAACCCTGCTCATAGTGATGATCACTTTCATCATCGTCATCACCATGAGCACTACTGTTGCACCACCACGATGTGCCTTTCGCATGGACCCTGGGACGTGGCTCGATCCACGCACAGATTCCACTTTGAGTCTCAGGCCAAGAGAGAACAGCGCAGTGTTTTCATACCGAAAACGTTTGCAGACACGCGGACAAGTCAATGCGACTTGAGCTGTAACGTCAAGGTTGACGTCACAATCACTACCAAAATATCAAAGAAAGGAAGAGGTTTCGCCTGGCCTTGCATAGGTCAAGGTATTTTGCCAGTGTCAGCGTTTGTGTCGCTGTAATGGGCCAGTAACCTACACCATGCCACTTCGAGCTTCTCTATCGTTTGCCAGAGTCACTGCTTCCAGAACCGGAAACGACAGCGATGGTGCCGGTTTACTGATGACGTCATTCTTAAAGTCCGCGCTCTAGTCACGTGATTATGCCGCATTTGACGGTGAGCTAAAGTGTCACTACAAGCGCTATTGAGCCTATTGAAATGCGTGACCACGCAGCCGTGGTTCCGTCACTTCGAACAAATTCAGGACCCGCCATTGCTTGTCTAGTGGCAATGCTGCTCGAATTCTCACCTGAAAATCTCGCGATAGAATCCTGGCTACGGCGGTTGCATTTCGTATTGCAGGCGAAATGCTGAAGGCCTGTGTACTTGCTTAGGTGGACATCAAACTCCTGAAGGCAGAAATTTTCGGAGCCCTCCACTCAGGCGTCGCTCATAACTGTAGTGTGTTTCGGGATGCATGACCCCAACAATTATTACATACATAAAGAAATTGGCAGACGAAATGGCACAACTTGTAGGCCATCATCGCATCTTGGTATGGCGAACATATATTGAGCACTGTCGTTCTCTTCAAAGTAGTCTTTAGGCTGTACTTTGAAAACAAAAAAAGCAACGTTTGGAACGTAGTCTGACAATGCCCAGGTTTAGTTTCTTTTCTATAACAATTCCTTTTTCACAGCCATCAGAAACAACTGGCCACACAAATATTAGACTTTATATCAAACGTCATTACAGCGATAAGCACAAGCCTGCGTAAAAAACTAACTTCTCCTGATGTGCTTGCGCCTTCAGTATTTCCTGTAGGCTTACCCGTCATATGATGATGATGATGATATGTGGGGCTTAACGTCTCAAAACCACCATTTGATTATGAGAGACGCCGTAGTGGAGGGCTCCAGAAATTTTGACCACCTGGGGTTCTTTAACCTGCACCCAAATCTGAGTACACGGGCCTACAACATTTCCTCCTCCCTCGGAAATGCAGCCGCCACAGCCGGGATTCGAACCCGCGACCTGCGGGTCAGCAGTCGAGTACCTTAGCCACTAGACCACCATGGCGGGGCTACCCGTCATATCGACTCCTCGCTGCGAATCTCGTAATATGCAATGCGAAGCTACGCACCCCAATCAAACTCTTTCACGTGTCCCGTTTAAAATCACGGGCTTCTATAAGTGAGCGACATTTTAGAAAACAGTACACTAAAGGTTACCCTACAAAACTTGTGGTACCATATGACAATACTTGAACGGAACCACAAAGCATGGAGGCAAATGTGACGAAAATGAACAACTTATATGCCTGTAAATGTGGTTCGTTTCGGAAACACGACGTCTTGCTTGCTCACGTTGGTGCAACCGCTGAAGTTAATTATTGTCATGTCCCATTATCTTGTGTGTTACAGCCGTCAGTAACTACAGGCCCCACAGTGGTGAGTATTCATATTCATCATTCCTAAAGTAAAGATCATGACTCAACGTCAAAGCATAAGTTTTACCTAATCACTCCAACTGTATAATATTTTGCCCTCCTATCAAGTTGTAAACACGCATGCTCATATTTCCACAAACAAAAACGCCGATTGTTTCAATTAATTTTTCTGTGTTGCTTCCATCGGAAACTCCCGGCCGCAGTTAGGCGTGACTTTGTATTAAGCGTCTTCCCAGGAATAATTCGAAGTCAATGTGAAGTAGCTCGTTCCTAAGCACGTTAGCTGTTTAAAATATCCATTGCCTGGCATGTTAACTTGCCTCTCATCTTGAATTCTCGCAGTACGTAATATGAAACCAACTAAACTCATCAAACTTTCTACATGTTCTACATGCAGGCATATACATTTTTTTGCACTGCCGCTTTTAGGTGAGCAGTACCTAAAGCTATATACAGCACAAAACTTCGGCCTTCTACATGACCTAATGTGAAAGATGCAACAGACGACCAAATTTCATTAGGAAAAAAGCTTGTGTGCCTGCACACACGTTTTATGTTGCAAACACGAGCTGCCAAATGAAGCTTGTCCCTTCCCGCCGAGGCACGTCAATGCGCCCTCTCATCTACATTTCATGTGGTAGAAAAGGCTGAGCTGTAACGCTCACATATATATCCAAAACTCATTCTGGTCATGTAACAATTCTTGCGAATGTGTTAATTCTTGTCTTGACAACGCCTGCGCCTAGGGATTGTTTCTTTCTGTTGGTTCCAGTTCGCGCTAATACTTTATTCTTACAACGTCAAGCCAACTCGTAAAAAAAGTATTGATGGGATACTTTTGTAAAATGATCCTTCCTTCACTTTGCAGTCCTCAGAACCACCGTCTTACCCTACGGTAAGTCCAAAACTGAAACATTCTTGCTACCAGCAGGCGCTGCCAGTGCACAAAAGCCCAACTTGCGATGTTAAGTGATGTGATAATCCATGCATATTTTTTCACAAGCATGTGCAGAGGAAGCCTTAGCTACAATCCTTTGGCGACAGAACAGATTGAAGTGTTGATAACATGGCTATTTCAAGAATTGCATCGTGATCAATAAATTGTTTTTTTTCGTCATTGATTTTAATCCGTGCACTTTGTTTAAAGTTCTGAAAATTTAAATAATTAAAAATATATATATTTTTAATTCTTTAAATTTTCAGAATTTTAAACAATATATATATATATATATATATATATATATATATATATATATATATATACTTCTTCAACTTCTTCCACTTATCTACCAAAAAACTACAAACTGAGCTCCTTGAAAAAAAACAAAGCCCTACGGCCACAGCTTCAATATTCATGTAACTGGTGTGCTCGATTTTGATATTGAAATTATAATCACCCCTTCGATAAAAATATTTCGCAGATTATCTTTAGACGGAAATGTATGTGGAGATGACTACTTCGAATTATTGAGCGTTGCAAACTCACAGTGTGGCAGAGTTAATGGCTGCATACTTTTTCTCGTTGCTACAATTTTCTCGCTTACAGCCACCAGGAACAGTGAGTTGTACCACGGTTACACCGAGATAAAAGGAAATTCTTCCTTTAATCTAAAAAACCGTCCCCGATACGCTCTTCCGCCCTCCGTTTGCGTGCGGCAGGTGTCCCGGCATGTACAGTGCGGCTGTGCGTATAGCGTCACCTCTATGGCCGTTCCATACGCTTCCCGCAAAGCTGCAATGCACGTGCCGGGACCCCTACCACATGCAAGCGGGGTACAAATAAGCCATTTGGTGATGCTGCGGAGGGTGAAAGAGCGCCGCCGATTGGCTAATTTGTCCCCCGCTTGCGTGCGGCAGGGGTCCCGGCACGTGCGTTGCGGCTGTGCGGAAAGCGCGTGGAACGGCCCTAAGGGTCTGTTAGGACTCTATACGCACAGCCGCACTGTACATGCCTGGACACCTGCCGCACGCAAGCGGGGGACAAATAAGCCAATTGGCGATGCTGCGGAGGGTGAAAGAGCATCGCCAATTGGCTTATTTGTGGCCCCGCTTGCGTGCGGCAGGTGTACCGACACGTGCGTTGCGGCTGTGTCGGGAGTGCGTGGTACGGCCCTTACCCGTTTCACTGGGCGGCTACCGCTTCATGCACCAGCGAGGGTGGATGATGAGGATGAATCGGCTCATCTGACCACCAGTCTTGGCGGGACGACATTAGGCCCTGTCGATGGCCCTGTGCACGCTCGAGCGATGTGTAACCGTTTCACTTTGCGGCTATTCATTCCATCGGTGGCCTAGGAAGTTGTGCCATCTGTGGGTGTATTACAGAACCTGAGCGTGAATAGCCATCAATCGTCACGTCCAGCACTGCTCCGGTGCGAAATGCTTACATTTTACAAAAGGTGCAAACTTGCACATTTATTTGTACTGCAAAACAAAATGTGAGGAGTTCAGAAAAAGCTAGAGCACTAAATTTACACATTTTTTTAACTTCCAACAGGCTCCTACGGAAACAAGCCCTACAGAGGTAAGCAGTGTTTAGAATCATAGGTCAACGTTTCGTAGTGCTACACTGTGGGAACAATACTGATTGTTCGGCCTAGTTAGTACTTGCTTACTGACATGATTTGGCCGCAAATGATACATTAAGTAAAAATGTATTATTTGCGGCCAAATCATGTCACTATACTGTGGGAAGGCAGTATGTTGCCCGGGTTCCAGCTGTATAACGCATAGAATAAACTATCAGACGACGTTTGCGTACGCGTGATAACATATTCTAACCGTATATATTCTCGAACTGTCGTCCTGTATAAAGTGCTAGTTATAACTAGGAATGGGTACAAAATCTCTGGCTCTATTTGGGACATTAAGGACATATTTAAGTGCGCATATTCTGAGAGGCTGCACAAGCTTCTTTAGATCCAGAAATACCAACACAACTTGCAAACCTCAGAGAAGGTCGATTTCTCTATTTTTTACGGCAGGTATAAAGAGAAGCCTCCTAGATATGTGTGTTTATCGGCAAACATTTTTAACCTCAACTCATGCGAATAAAACTTCCGTAAAAAAGGTATATAAATTTCCAGAATAGCACTGATATACTTTCAATTCCACTAACACTATGGTGCACGCTGTGACTCGGTTGAACGTTTGCAATTCCTTTGTGGAGCCTAGAATGCCCCAATATAACATGCAACTTGAAGGAGGCAAAGTTTTTATATGCTGAATCCGCACTGTTATCAAAAAACTGCAGGTTTTGGCAAAGAAAACGAAAGCAACTTTTGGTTTTTACCTGCGGAAACCACGTTGTTATGAGGCTCGCCTTACTGAGGGACTGCCGGGTTCGTCTTTTGCACCTGAATAACCCTGACGAGCAACTAAATGTTGCACAATACATGTGGGATTTAACGTCCCAAAACCACGATATTGCAACTAAATGTAGGACGTACACTGTAGACGACTAGTGTGTTGCAGTTTACGGCGCTGCTTTACAAAAACTAACCTATCACCAACTGAACTTTTCTCACGTTGCATGACAACATAAAGCAGTTGAATATAGCTACGTGGGTATTTTTTACATTTCGTGCACCATTCGAATGTGGTCACCATGGTCGGGAGTCGAACAGGCATCCTCAAGCATCGCATTGTGACGTCTTACTTCCTAAGCTGCAGGGGCTGGTTAACTATGTTATTCTCTTTTAACGCTCTTTCGGCTAAAAGCAACACGGCGAACTAGTGCCGGTCATTATCTGACACGGTACTTTTTACTGACATGGGCACAGAGTTCCAGTGAAAACTCTGTCAGGTTATAGAGACTATTTAGTTGTTGAACAATTACGGTGATTTGTCTTGGCGAAAACCAGCGACGGTAGAGAGATAACGGCAGTTAACATTGGTGGGGCGCTGATATGCTGGAACAATCTTGAAAATGAAAGCTCAAGAAAAATCATATCTGTTAAAATAAATTTCGAAGTCCTGGACTGGTGTAAGTAATTAGTTTGTACTTCTCTACAGCCAACAGAGACAACACCCGAAGGGGTAAGCTATCAAACTTTTACACCGCTGCATCTTTGTATTTATGCACGTGGGTATAAAGGGGCAGAATGCGGTTTATGCACTAAAACCAATTCAAGGGGTTCCCCTCTTTACAACATTTATAAAGCAGTTACTGCAATGTTTGCATTGTGTCTTCTTCCTTTTATTAGCATGGTTTCAAATATGCGTACAATTAATTTTTAATTCATTGCAACCTTTCCGCATATGAACTTCGCAGGTGTCTTTCACCGAGAGGTACCGGCTCTAGTATATGCATGCTTGTCGGTTAAGCTCATACGACATAATAAATTACGTTTACCGTGTATTTATATCTTGATATCATTGATTATCTGTAGTTCATATTGCAGTAATAAGTAACCTTACCATAGTGTGGGACCATATTGTATGATCTACATTGCATGGTTTTTAAATTTGCAAGAGGTATTGTGACGCCCCGAAAATTTCATGGATGGTAAAAAAATATTTTAAATAGTGTATAGGTTCCGGCTTCATAATTGAACGCACTATTCTCGGCCATGGCTTCGTTTCAACTTTGTTGCGTTTATGTGTATAATACTTTATTTTATTATCTATCGCATTTTTATAGCCAATTTTATCGTTTTTTCTATATACATACGTAAAGATGTGCACGGGCGTAAGCACGTTTTTAAAATTAGGATCACATTCCGACAAGTTAAAGAGCAGGAAGTTAAGGAGTTAGGCATCACAACCTCAAGTTAAGGAGTTAAGGCATAACAAGCTCTTTGATGCTTTGAAATTCATTTCGATACATGGTATATATGAGTCGTTGTTTGACACGCACCTTTTTGTGTTCATGTTTTGGCAGAGGAGCACCAGGGCACCCGTGACGGTAAGAGAGAAAAAGTTTGATTAATATTACGTTCGTGTAAGCTGGCTTTCGCCCTGCTTTCTGAGTTTCTTACATACTACGGGACGGCTTTACGCTCTCCCATAGTAGAGTATTTAGTACTCTAAATCGTTACCCACTTTTTCTAACCCCCCCACTACGACATGACTATGAAACCTGCTAGTGCTTCTGTAAACTGACGACCATCTTAGCAATGGTTGTCTCTCGCAGTTTGTTCTAAAGCAATCACTGTTTTATTTTCTTCAGCACTTCCATATTCGCACTGAACTGTCTCTACGTAACATCATAAAGGAAGTTTCTTGACCCAATATAAAACTTTTATCCTCCACATGCGAAATAATTATCACATACGAGAGAAACCTCGATGACTTGTACAGTAAAAAAAAAAGCGTCCGCGAAAATTCTGCAGCGATTCCGACTAATTAGTGTGCTCGTACATTTCATACCGAGATTATCCAGCAGAGACGATGAAAACTTACTTCTTCTCCAGAAACATTTCTCCGCGCACTTTTTTTCCTCTCTTCCCTCTTTCTCGTCTTTCTTGTCCCCTTCCCTAATCCCCTAGTGTAGGGTAGCCAACCGGATGTCTTTCTGGTTCAACTCCCTGCCTTCTCCCTTTTATTGCTTCCTCCTCCCTCCTCCTACTTGTTCTCCCTCTGCTGTAGCCTGTGGTTGTCATCATCATTCTTGCTTGCAACGAAAGGCAAACGAGAACATGCATTCATTCGCATCCGCTAATCTACTTTACGCCTTAAATGTGAGGGCGTAAGAAATAGGACAAGTACTCCTGTAGACACTAATGCGTGCGTCACATATTTAGTACTTGAGGAAGACTGCGATCATGATTATTTATGAAGATCCACCATCTTTTCATTATTTCTGTGCCTTCTTCATCTCTACGGCGTGAAGGAACTGGGGACGTAATTTCGAATGAAACGGGTTTTGAAGATGTTTGTGCTGAATAACTCGACAAGCTTGGGGTTGCAACTAACACTTTATTGAATTAACCCAAACTATGGCAATCTGTTTATCACAAAGCATTAACCGGAAATCCAGCTTCCCCATAGGCAGTGTGTTCGAATCGAATGCGATAAAATTGAGCCTTCGAATAAGGCCCAGAAATTTACGCAGGTTTGGGCAAGTCAAATCTGTTTTTTTTCCAAATTGCCCCTAACGAGAGCTGGCTTACTATTTCTTCACATTTTGTTTTGTTCATTAGACCATCTGGTTAGGTACAATTGGGTGTTTGAGGTACTTTTTTTAAAGACACCCTATGCCACTGTCTGAACAAAAAAGCACTGCGCAGTAAGTAAAAAACTACAATAACACTTGTAACCTAAACAGCAGTTTGGTAACAAATATACTAGCGCGACAATTTGTGAATTAAGCCCAAATATACACCTTGCGAAAGACATGCATGAGTAGGAAGTGTGGTTTTACGTCAGTAGAAAGTCTTCTGATGACTGTGTTGCACTAAATTACAATTAAAATAAACGTGAAGCCTCGATCTTTCTATCAGTAACTTGGGATGATACTTTAGCCCACCTCTTGATTACTAATGCCATTCTTAAAATAGAGTCCTAGTCGTAATTGCCCTTCCCACCAATAGTGTGGCCTTCAGAGATTAAACAAAAAATAGAGAACATATCTTTGAAGTCTTGCAAAAATAATTTTAGAAACATTTTCAGCCTTAAATAAATGCAGTACTTATCGTAATTGTCATCCGTGTTGCCTTTAGCATTATGCCTTACACGAGTGTGGTATCAATTACCAGATAGTTGAACTGTGCGTTTTTTTTTTGCGCCTAAAACCTACAACTAAAAAAGTATTGGGCTGCAATAATAACTCGATGAACATCACACTAGGCCATGTAGCAGTGGCTGGTTCCTGTGAGATTCTAAACACTTGCTGCAGAAAAAGATTGCACAGGGTTTACAGTGCTCTAGCTGCAATAATAAAGGACACATATGTCATAAGATTCTACCTGTAAACCAAAAAGGAAAAATATTGTATCATATTGATACAGCAGTGTATAGTCCGCTATAACTTGTACCGTTTTATTGTCCAGAAACTCACTGTTACTGCTTCCTCTGATACGCAACGCAATGTTGAAAGCATATACTCGCGAGCACAAGCTTATAACTTAACGTTTAAATAGCTTGGAATGCCATCAGTTATGAAGCCTTAAAACTTCGAGTTGCTCTATAGCATTATTAAGTTAAGTTACTTCAAGTTACTCTATAGCATTATTAAGTATAAGAACAGCGCCCCCACCGAAAATGATGCAGATTGTCTGTAGTGCTGCATTTATAGTGAATTATGTCATGTATAATGCGTGAACTGGATGAATTCTTAACTACTGAGCAGCCCCTAGTCCTATTTAGGCATATATAGGCCACCACTAGAACATTTAAAACACAATAGTAAATACGACGTTAGCGCAATAATGAAACTCATTGAAACAAATCAAAAACATTTCTTTCACCAGTGCATGAAAGAGAGAAAAATTAGGAAATTCACAATGGGGTTTTCTCTTTTCACACACGTAATATTCTCATGCATTCTTGGCTACGTTTCTTCGGTCTTAGCAGAGATGAAGGGACACCATGTAGAGTGACAAAGCGGTCACACTGATATGCGAGGTTTCAATAAATGTTATAAAAGTCTTAGCAAAACGCGCTGACAAAAAACGAGTCATCGTGATTTCCTGAAGATCGGGGCGGGGGGCTACAATATTTTGGGTAACATCATAACGTACAGTAATCAGCTACGTTTACAGATCTCCTAAAAAATGTCCAAATTAGACTTGGCGTCTGCTAGCTCAGCTTGTCAAGAAACATTGCATACTGAAGTGTCATTGAGTATCAGTTGCTATTGTTGTTTTGCTTGAAAACTTTATAATTTTTTTACACCACCAAACCCTACGAAGCCTGCTACACACATTCACAGTGATTCTGCGCTAGTTTGCTACGCAAGAACGAAAGGAAGGATAGACCATACAGCATGCCCACCAAATGCTTTTCGTTTTGCGCAGCTACGTCAGTGTTGCCGATTTCACCTTGTGTACAAAATAACAACCTCTATTTAGGCGTATTTCTTGTATTAGGCTACAGGCACCCATTACAAAAATATCGGTGAAGCAAAATGTTAACATTTCCTATCTCTTTTCAGGAAACACCATCTACCCAAATGACGGTGAGTAGCTTGATCTCAAAGTTAGATACAGCAAACGGTATACCAGCTTTGAAACAGCTTCTTATAGTCTAGGTAAGTGTCCATACAAGCTGATGCAACTAACTATGCCATTTTTCTTTTCTGAATAGTGCCAGCCGACAACGTGTCCACCGTGTCCAGTGATACCACGTAAGTGAAGTCTTCGGTATTGGTTTTCACGAAACAGCTTCCTTAACGCTAGCAACCAAAACGTCCAATGAGAAACATGAGCGACTGTAAATTGTTCAAATCAGAGTTACGAGAGGAAAGCCATAAATAATACTTCCGAGAGCTTCAAAGAACGGCATAGTTCTTCGAGGCGCATCGTAGGCGCATAGTTTACACAACAATATTTAACTAGTGTTTCTTTTTTTTTTCATTTCAAGAACGTGGAAAGCTTATAGGCCACGCAAGAAAGTATTGAAAAGTACCAGTTTCAATTTATCACTCTACTGTAGTTGCTTGTGAACTTGTTCCTAATCCTCAGCTCTTCTTACTGCTGCTTCTAATTGGAAATTTACGTTATAATAGCAAAATTAAAAACAAACAAAATGAGTGTGGAAGTAGAGTTCAAATCAATTGGAGTTTTTGCATAAAATAAATCAGCATACCAAAATAGTGGAGCAGGACATATGGTTTATCTTATAAACAATGTTTTGCACTTTTTTAAACATCATTTGTATGATTACGGATAAAATTATGCAACGCGCTATTGAAAGCCCTAAGCTGCGTGAGTCAGCGCGCAACGGGCTGATCCCACGTTGTGCCAGTAAGGCCAAGCCCGGCCGTTATACCATTGGCCCTCTGGAAAGGCAATTACGAATTCCAATACTTATTTGTAGTTATATTCAACCTTAACTCATGAGGCAAGTCATGATCGGCAAACATAACGTCGATATTC